AAATTCCGAGCGTCTCTGTGAGTGTCTACAGACATGGGGCTCTTCCGTTGCATGCAACCGGGTCCCCCGTTCGATGCCCTTGGACAGTGCCCTACCAACCCCAAACCTGGGATTGCCGTTGAATCCAAGCCGTCTCGCTATCCTTGCTCTACTGCCGCGCAGTCTGTGCAGCCAGGCTCTGCCATCCGGCTGCATGGGTTACCCTCGCTCTGGCAGCATAGTGCGGACGGGCTATCGCTGCATTCTAGCGCCAAACGACCCTTGGGCTCTCTTCGGCTTCATTCGAAAGTGCTGTTGAGCATATAGAACAGTCGCTGCACTACGGCACAGCATCTGCGACCAGCCTGTCTTCTTGTACCTCGTCCCGCCGTGCCGTCCTTGCACGCTGACACATGCGCCAGCGGGCTGGACAAGGTCCCATTTCCATCGCAAACCCGGTATTTCGCTGAGTGCATACCGTCCTGTCGTTTTCGATTGTACCCTCGACGTCATCTGCAGAACGCATCAACCACACTGCAGCCCTCTCCGGACTCGACGAGGTGCAAGAGCAAAATCAACCAGGCCTGTGTCAACAAGCGAGAAACCTTAGCTTCCAAAGCGACCGTGCCTACAGAAGAAGAAAGAAGCCCAGGCGACGTTCGATTGGCTGCACTAGAGCTTGTTCGCATGATTCACGCCGCCGCTCGTTCATCTCTTAGCACGCTAGCTCGGAGAGACCCTACAGCACTGATCGGCCGCGCTCGGCACCAGTTGCACTCGAGACTAGACGGGAAGCGACGAATCACCGTCGAAGCCGCCACGGAAGCACGAGTGTAGAGGAGCCCCGATTGAGACGACTACCTCGAGGTACCCTTGCCAGCTCTTCTATCTTGTGTCTTACTCTTGTGCGTCTTCCTTCATGAGCACTGCGACGTCGTCGCCCTCGACGCTCTTCCTCTGACCTTCACTTCTAATTCCATAATATTACCAGATTACCCTAGACTTACCCCCCGACACGTCATCGCTGCTTGACTGGTCGACCAGCACGACACTAATACCCTCGAAGCCGTTGGAAACGGCCCTCTTTGTTGTAATATTCGGAGCACACCAGGGCACTCTCGACCACGGTTCGGTACCAGACCTGCGTAACCTCAGTTCAATCGCAAACTCCTCTTCGACATCAAGCTGGTGCTATGCCTTGCGGAGACAGTGCGGAAAGTACAGCGTTCTACGGGTTCCACACTGCAGGTGCTGAGCGACGCAGGCGCAGTACACATTTTTCGTTGTTGCTTATATCTGCGCCTATTTCTGTTGGAAGTCACGGTCAAGGGTGGAGTCAACCTTCTCTCCGCAGGCGGGCCTTTAGTTCGGTCCCGTTGCAAGGCGAGCGCCAGATCCACTCCCGCGCGCGCCATTCTGATATCGACGCTTTCCAGAGGTGCCTCCAATTTTGAGAAAGGCAGCGCATACCATACGAGAACACGCATTATTATCGACTGTGCTGGACTGGAACACTGAGAGCAGGCAGCCGCGCTTTGACGGCACTTTCTCCGAAAAGGGTCTTCCACCCATGGAACGGTGATCCACTCGCACTTTCATCGCTCATTACCACTACAATCACTGGTCACGCAGCACCTTCGGACGGCACTGCACTCCGTAGTGACTCAAACCTTTGTTCGATTGGTCACCTTTCGCGTATTTCTCTCAAAGGTCGCTAGCCGAATTTCCAAATTCTCTTATGTTCTCAGTATTTTTCGACCGGACGACTCCATCTCACCACCACATTCTCGGGCGTCTCTGAGACTTGATCCTTGGGTTCCTTACAACACGATTACGACCGCCGACCTCTGCTACAGAGGGCCAGACCATGAACATGAACATCCCAACCATGTATCCGCACCACCCGATGCCGCCGCAGTATAACCAGCCCTACTATCAACAGCACATGCCTGTCACACTACCAGTCGCAAGTCAAGGCCCCGAGCCTTTGAGCCCGAACAATTGTTACCTGTCCGTCCGCCAGCAGCCTAAAGAGGCACTGGTCGCGGTCAAGAGCAAGGAAAAGTTCCGGAAGCCTGTGGATCCTCCACCCATTCTCCAGCTCAACCTTCGGGATCGCGTTGACGCCTCGAACAGCTTCTTACAAAACCCCTACATCTTCCTCAGTGCATCCCTGTACAAAGCGGACAGAGATGAGCCCGTCGAGCACACTCCCAATGAATCCATGGCCGGCACACTGGTGTCGTCCCTGCATCGTCTCAAGGATGTCGATAACAAGGACGGCGGTTTCTTCGTCTTCGGCGATATTTCTGTCCGGATTCAGGGCAGCTTCAGACTGTGTTTCAGCATGTACGAGTTCCACCCTTCACGTGGGGAGGTCCAGAACCTCGGCTCTACACTGAGTGATAAGTTCGACGTCGTACTTCCCAAAGACTTCAAGGGTCTCGAAGAGTCGACGTATCTCTCGCGAGCGTTCTCCGACCAGGGCGTTCGACTCAGGTTGCGCAAAGAAGCTAGAGGGATGATGAACAACAAGCGTTCATTCCAGGCAGACTCAGAGCCTACTTCCCAGACACAGATCGCCCCAAGCTACGAGTTCCAGTCATCAAAGAGAAGAAGGGAAGAATACACTCTACCCTTAAACCCAGAACCGACCACACAGGCACCCATGGACCACCCCGCCTACGACTACGAGCCATCCAAGAGGAGGAGGGAAGACTCTGGCTATATCTTGCCTACCAACTTGGGCTCTGACCCCCCGCCTCTACCAGCGTACCCAAATAGCATGAATTTGTACGCTTCCTCCACTCTCGCACAGCCACCACGGATGCCATTCCACCCAGGTCATCCAGGCCATCCAGGTCACCCAGGTCACCCAAGTCACCAGGTGTACAACTCCATGAACTTTAACATGGTACCCTCGTACGTCGATCATCCAAATGTTGATCCATGGGATCAGAAGATTCAACAGGAGACGGATTATAAGGTCTAGGAAGACCGCGATCGTCTTCCTCCATATCGAGATTTTGCGACCGGCTTGCTCGAGTTTTGCCCCGATATCAAGATTCAGTCATGCGAGGACGAGGCGGAGGGAGAATTCCCCTGGTCGAAATATGATGACCAGGTCGAGTTCATATAATAAGCACACGTCGGAGAAGGCATCGCATCACGCGTCCGTCTCGTTCATTCAGTTTTCGATGGGTATTTGACTTAGCTGTCTCAACCCTTTCTACACTCTCGGTTTGCGCGTGGTTTCGGACGTCGTCGTCCCCACGCTTTTCTTTATCAGCATGGTGTTATGACGAGGGCATTATGCATTTGGGTATGGAGTCATTAATCACGACAACATGATGTCGTCTTTTCTTTTTGTTCCTTTCTTATACATCGCTACGGTACTAGGTATCACACTGTCAACGGAGAGAGTAGTAACCCTACCCTCCTTGGGATCAAAAAAACACACCGCCCACCGAACTCAAAATACAAACAATTCAAAATTACACACTGAATCCCTATGAGTGATGCGCCTGATGATGAGACGTGCCTTTCGCATCGCAACCCCCCAATGCCGTACCTGCAGCCGCAACATACACTACCAGCGCGCGCAAGCCCTGAAAGATTTGGAAGACAAAGACAGCCACTCGGCTCGTTACCACCGTCACATGCGAAAGCGAACGTGTAGCGTAGATCTCATTGCGCACTTCCAGTCTCAGACTCGCGCTTGAACTAGTGATCGACAGCCGCGAAAACCTGCCTGGTGACATCGGGCGATGCCGTGCAGTAGCAACACACCGGGGTTTCCCGTCATAGCTGACGAAAAATGGTACGAGATTCTTGTGCGGGCAAATTTGTGCCTAACTTAACACAGGCCATGCTCATGCGGCGATACGAAGACGAGATCTTGTGCTAGCTGGGTTCGTGGTTTCCGTGTTGGGCTGCATTCTCATCGCGCAGTGAGGATGGAGAAGGTTTGGGGACGGTTGAGTGACAGGATGAACGAGTCGCAGGCTCATCCGGGGACGAGAGGCCCTTCCATTAAGGGAACAGGTCATCGAGACCGTGGAATACATTTCTCTCGAGCCGTAGTCCATCCCGTCTCTCTACCAGACACTCCCATCAATGCAAACACGTTACACTATTCCCACCACAACCCCCATCTGCTTGCCCCAGCAAGAAAAAACTGGTAATGGTTCGGTTCGCTCCAGCCCATACTCGCACCACAACCCCCCCCTCCCTTCACTGCCGGACCCAACCCAAGCTACCCAGCCCCTCGCCTCGCTTCCCCCATCGCGTGCCTCGCGTACATTCGCGCATCTTCGCGTTTAATCCAAGCCACCGCGCCGCCCGTCAAGCTCGAACGCCACACAGCACCCTAAACCCTTCCCACGATCGCCGTTTCACACTCATTGCCTTGGGGATCGTTGGGCCCCACTTTTCGCGTCGGCTGTATGGCTGGAAAGGGCATGGTTGGTGAGATGACGCGCATGAGATGGAGGTAACGTGATTTAGTGCGTGGTGCTAAGGGACGGTTGGGCCGAGAGAGTTTGGGGGCTTGGCAGAGGGGGAGGTGGTGATTGGTGGGGGTTTGATGATTGCTGAGGGGTTGAAAGGGGGTTTGCTGAGGGAGGCGTGGTTGGAGGGGGTGATGGGGTGGTTGTGGCGTGGTGGGCAGGATGGGGTGGTGGCACGGTGGGAGGAGAAGAGGGAGTTCAGGGTGCATTAAAGTTTGTGGTAAGTGCTTGATTTGCTACTTGTGCGATTTAGCAAGACGACCAGCGTGTGGTGTGTTCTCATGATTCGTGTCTTGAGGAAAAGCTCATATGGTAGCCTGAAGGATACGCAACGATCATAGTCGTGCCATTACATCAAAAGCCACCAATGTATTCTCCTACCTTTGTATAGTATGTATTGCTCTGAAGCAGCGGCAATCCCGAAAATCCCGTCTGAAGCCTACAATGAAGTCGCCATCGCTATACAACGCCGAAGTGTCTGCATGTCGACGGCAGACAGCTTGATGCTCAGCTCTACTCATACCTTGCGGTCAAAGATCCGTACTTCTTGCCGTTGACGGTGATGAAGAAATCCAGAGTGGATTGGAGCGAGATGTTGACGACAGAGTTGATCGTGTGGTACTTCCGACCGGATGCGCTAGTTTCTAGCTCGGTGTCTTCTTCAGGCACGTCGCTCAGATCTACGATGAGTGTCGCAACCTGGTATATCGACTAATAGCAGGTCAGTTGTAGCCCTTGACATCAGTTCGAAAGATTCACTGACCTCTTCAACACTTCGCTGTGGAGCAACATCCGCATCGCAGGATAGGAGATCCCAATGTGTCGTTCGTTCTTCCCCAACCCAGAATGTAGACAAGATCTCAGCAGCAGCGTGCGTTGCTTCGGATGCATGTAGATCTTGGCCCTTCTCGATCAACCACTCCATCTGGTTTTCAGCCCGTTTCTCGCCAGTATATTTGTCGCAGTACATGTCGACTTTCTTATGCGTACGTCTCGAGAATTTCTCGGTACAATCGGTCCCATAGTGACGACGGCTCTTCCGCTTCAAGATTGCGTTGTTGCCTCCTTCGAGACCTTTGGCGGCGGCACCTCGCGCGACGGCAGACCACCTTTGCAATGAGTTAGTAAATTTGTGTTTACGGGTAAGTATCCGTAGATGAGTACTAACGCATATGAAGGTCGAATCGCTTTTATATCACGCATCTCGACAAAGCTTTTGATCTTTGCGAACATGTAGGGCGACTCCGAAAACCCACCGACCAGGAAGACATACTGTGAAAATTAGCACAAAAGAGCGATTAAACGAGCTGAAGCACCCCATGGTTATGTTGCTTGTGGATATGGATAGAGTTTTGAGAAGATAACATACCTTGATCTCCACTTCACTTTTACGAGCGCGTTGTAGTTGCTCCTGAATCAGCTCATACGTATGAAAGATACACTTCTCAAACATGGAACGTGTATCCTCCCTGGTCATGTCAGTATATGATGACAAGTCCGTTCGGTAAGACTTACGCCGTAATAGTGAGTTCACCGTCACTAATGCCTCTCTTCTCGTCGTCATCGATGGCGCTTAGCGGATTTGGTAGGAGAAGGTAGTTTGTCTGAGTCCCAGAGAAACCAGTTTTGACCTCCATCGTGAAGTCTTGAAGAAGTTTGGCCGCTTTCTTAGTCAGAGAAGTGCGTGGAATCTCCTCGCTACGGCAACCAGCAATCTTGATAAAGTCTTCGGTTCCTAGACGACGCTCCAGCCACTGGAGAAATGCACGATCGACAAAGCTGCCGCCGCATTGAGCACCGCTGCCTACTGTAGCTTCCTCGATGACTGTCGGTTGAAGACTCGAAACTCGGTATGCGATCAGGTCGACAGTTCCGCCACCCATGTCACATACTATGAACCCATCACCGACTGACAGTTTTGTATCCTGCGCAGTACCGCGAAGTGTGCTGATAGTGTGAATGGCGGCAGCTTCTGGCTCAGTAGTCACAAGCACAGGCATTGAGAGCTGCGGAAACTCCAGCTTGTTGAAGCCAGCCTTCTCAACAGCTTGCATAGTTCGGTATTTGGCTACATCGGACCATACTGCTGGGACTGTGATCACCAGTGTGATAGATAACGTGCGCCACAGTTCTTTGCCATATTTGTCGTCCAAGTTCTTGATGAGATGTGTCTTGATCTGTGCAAGGAAGTCGGCGATGATCTCAACGGGTGGCTTGCGTGGTCCTAGTGGGGATGATGAAAGCTCTCCGATAATTTTGGCGGCTTCGCCATCTCCACGATTGTCGAGCTCCAGTTTGGTCCACATGTGGCGCTTCTCGTGCGGAGGGATGTCAGATCCCCATCGGAGGCCCTCCTTCAGGTAGGCGACTTCGCTGGGTACCTTCTCTTTCGTGCCAATTTTGCCGTGGCGAGAAGGCCAATCGTGTACGATCTCGATATGTTGACGATCAGAGCTGGAATCAGAGACCTCGCAGAACGACACACCTATCGTGGATTGTTAGCACTCACGAAGCTGAAATATACATGCTGAACATCTACCTGTGTAGGTGGTGCCATAATCGAGGCCGATCACCAACCTGCTGTCCTTCATGATGTGTTTCGAATGCTACCTAGGTAGCTGGCTGTGAAACGGGGGTTTGGAAATGGGGAAGTAAGTGTAAGGTTCTACAAGTGGTATCTTGTGAGGCTTTAGTGGAAGAGAAAATTCTGCCACTGTAGCGAAGGTGAGTTGTCATGGAGACGCGCAGAGACAAGAGGTGAGAGCGGGTTGCCCCACAGCGCGCAATAATAAGTGAGGTGAAGGTGAGTCTGTCGAGCAACATGTGTTGGTAGTCCCTCAAGTCCTTCGATTTTACCCAATACTCCATTCTCGCAATACCAGTACATCTCTCAGCCGTACCCGACGAGACTGACCTGCTTGTTCCTCGTCATCGAATGGGTATGAACGGCAAAGACGCCACGAGAACCACAACGAATATCGTAAGTTTCACCTCCAACCACTTCTTCTTAAGCTAACAGCCAATGTAGACAGCGGCCACCACTATGGAGAAAGCGGAGTATCCAATCACACCAACCAAGCCACGTGAAGGCCATGGCTACGGCGGAAGCCCTGCTAATACCGCGCAAAGTGCATTAGGATCCGCACAGTCCATCAACAAACACAGCTCCAACGTTGAAGAGACCATCTCACAACTCTACAAGGCCATAGGCAGGCGCAAAAAGGAAAGTGCACATTGGCAAATCAGTTACAAGAACACGCGCAAAGCCAACCGCGATCTGAAAGATAGGGTCTCGCAACTGACCATCGACAACGCAAACATGGAATCCTCTAAGACAATCTACGAAGATAAATACGGATACATCGTCAACAAGGCTATCCTACCGTACGCGGAAGCTGCAGGTCTACAATTCGATGACCGCACAAAGGCCTCCGTGGATACGGTGATGGAACCTTTCTACAACGACGCGATGACGACTCTCGATGTACGAAACGAGTTGCGTCCAGATGATGTCGAAATGAGGGTTCTCAAAGATGAGCTTATGGCTTCACGGTTATACGGTCAGTCTTTGGAAGAACAGAATCAGTTTCAGGAAACCGAGATCCAGAAGCTGCGACAGGATCTAGAGAGCTCAAAAGCCGCCGTTGAGAACTCCCGCACTCAAACCCAGGTACTGCAAAAAGAGATGCTAGCTCGCGTCCCAAAGATCCAAGCTATTTCCGACGAGGCCTTCTCCAGGAGATTCCATACTCTGGCTTCCATGGTCAAATCGCTGAGTCGTTCCGTTCGAATCACTCCAGAAGTCGATGTACTGGCCATCCTCCAACCGCCTATGCTCAACTCTGATGTACCAGACACTCAATGGAGCAACCGTGCAAGGAAGAAGGCTTACATTGAAGCATGGATCTGGTCTACCCTCCTCGAAATGGTATTTTCGTCCCCGTTCGTTTTCTGCAGGAGGCTTGCCAAAACTCTTCACGACGCGTGGTTTCATTTGTTTGGCGATGTCAATCCCTTGGAATGGCCGGAGCCCTCGCCGGAAAGTGAAAACTGGCGATGCACGACAATCGAGAAACTAATGGATAGGATCGGTCGGGAGACAATAACCGAGGGACAGACACAGGGAAAGAATCGCCAATCAGACGAAAAGACCCGAGACCTGCAGATATCTGTGATCCAATCCCGGGAGAAAGTATCCGAGTTCATCACAACAAATCTCACGGCAATCTATTCGGGGACCGACTTCTCGCATGTCCTGAACATAGTCAATCAAGCATTTGCGCTGTCGTTGGACATGTCACTTCAGCGTTCACGCATTCAGATGACCTGGTCTAACATTGGAACCGACTTTGTTGCGGAACACATGTCTGCAATTCCTGACCGCAACGGCGAAGACATTCGCGAAGGAGTTGTGGCGTTCATCGTCAGCCCTGGTCTGACCAAATGGGGTGATGCAAACGGGAACCACTTCGACAAGTGTCACGATCTCGTGCCTTCGCTCGTCCAGATCGAGCCGCGTCAGAATTTTGTATAAGGAAAGTATCGAGTCCATATGGAGCAGCAGGTGAAATGGTTCATCCAGGAACGAGAAGAGATACTCGGCCTACTGTTATGAGGTCCTGACAGCGATGATGCTTGACTGCGATCAGTTAGAGAGGATCCATGGGGAAGCAAAGCAGACCATCTTGACGCGGAGCATTCCCGGCTGGTTGCGGCTGAGGGACTGAGCGTGCTGTCAAAGGACGAAGGAAGTACTGAGGATAGAACACGAGGAATTCAGAACAGATTGAATGAAGCAATTCCCTACTTATGGTACTCGTGCATTCTGCGCACATGTCATTCGAAGACCAGTGAAGAGAATGTGAAGTCCCGCAAGTATTCGTTGAGGATGAAGGGACAGAATGACGATATGATTATTGATGTAGGAGATGAGACGCGATCGGAATCGAGATGAGGGTCAATGTTCACGTCAGAGGCGCGTCCGAGCGAAGCCATTTCCGCGGCTAGCGCCGAACGCGTCTCGGCCATCCTCGATACCACACGCATACGAGCTGTGCAGGCATCCGCACCCACGCATACCAATTGCCCTTCTGCCGTACTCTTTATTTTAATCACGTCTTCTATTCTTCGCCCCGCAAATGCAGAGCATACCATAAGCTTCACGCCGCCCCACCAGCCCCTCTCAAATCCTCCCAACGCGTCTCGCAGCGCGTTTTCTCGACACCCGCACGCAGGGCAAACCACTCTACCGCCGCCGCCATGTACCTTCCGCGAAACCTCATAGCCCACCTATACCAGAACCTCATAAAACGCACACATGCCGCCGCACCGCCCGTTTTACTCCTCGTCGCCCTCGAGCCAGACGCGCTTTGTGCCTGCCGAATCCTTACCGCGTTATTGAAGCGCGACTACATACAACACAAGATCCAACCGATAGCCGGATATGGAGACCTATCACGGGCGGCAGAAGAGCTGGTACGGCCCATGCGGACAACAGACGGCGGAAGTGGAGGCGTCGTAATATGTTTGGGCGTCGGAGGCATGGTGGACATGGAGGAGATACTAGGCCTCGATGTGGATGAGGATGGCGAGGGTGGCACTGGCGATGTCGAGGTCTGGCTCTTGGACGCGAGACGGCCGTGGAACCTGACCAATGTTTTCGCCGCCCCCATAAGTCAGGACCCCGCAACGGGAGAGTTTGTGCGGAGACAAGCGGGGGTGGACAAGGGCAAGATCACGCAGTCATACCAGTCGTTAAGAGGTGGGATTATAGTCTTTGACGACGGTGACATCGATGAAGAACTGCAGGCAGAGCGTGAAGCATACGCTGGGCTTGAGGAGATGCCAGAGGTGGGGGAAGAAGACGACATCAGCGACGACTCGGACGACCAGGATGATGAGGAGCCGCCATCTGGACAAGCACCGAAGAAGAGGAAATCTTGGGGTGAAGAAGACGACTCTGAGGATGACATGACAGATGATGAGCGGCCAGCACAAAGACGGAGGAGTAATTCGGTATGTATAGTCGATGTTCAGACGGAGGCCATGCTAACATTGCCCAGGGAGGCTCAATACCATCGTCACCCGAACCGAGACGGCGAAGAGGCCTGCTAGCAGCGCAACAACTAGGCGGCTCCTCTGACTTTTCGCGTTCAGACTCCCGCAGCCGCTCCGCATCCCCGTCAGTAGCCGCACCGAAAGAGAAGTCGTTAAAGAGCCTACGAAGGCAGCTGATCAAGAAGCGGAACAAGTACGCATCCACGCTCGACAAATACTACGGACTCGGTACCTCCTACTCAGACCCCGTCTCTTCTCTTGTATACAACCTAGCATCGGAACTCGGCCGCGAAGACAATGATCTGCTATGGAATGCCATCGTTGGTGTCAGCAGTCTGGAACTATACGGGCGGACAGGGAGCGGTGTTGGCTTGAACCCTTTATCAGCACAAGGTGGTTCAGCAGGCTGGAATGGTAACCGCGGAGAGAACATACGCTCCGTCCTGCGAGATGAAGTACGCCGACTGAACCCTGTCACGGATGCCTCAAGTGTGTCCCGCAATGCAACGATGGGTGAAGTGTGGGGTGTCATCCCGACGAGTGCGCTCTCAGCAACAGACAAGTCAATCCGCCTCTCCCCTGAGCCGCGTTTCCTTCTCCTTCGGCACTGGTCTCTCTACGAAAGTATGCTCCACTCGCCCTACCTCTCCGCCAAACTACACATCTGGAGCGACGCAGGGCAAAAGCGACTTGCCAAACTCCTTGCCAAGATGGGTGTTTCACTCACTGAGTGCAAGCAAAGATACACACATATGGACATGGAACTCAAGCGAGGCCTCCGAGAACGCCTTCTGAAGTTCGCCCCACAATACGGTCTCGATGGTCTCGTACCACCAAAGTCAGGTACAGGCGACCCCAAAGACGGATGGGGTTTCGTACGCTGCTGGGGCTGGAAAGCATGTCTCTCCGCCATCGACGCCGGCGTAATCCTAGGAGCCATCCTCGAAGTCGGCGACGCAAAGAACCTGAACCAATCCGCCCTCGACAGCTCCAACTTCGTCGGAGCCAACGACCACACCGAGATGCCCTCCTCCACGCAAGAACAACAAGACCTCGCCCAAGAACACATCACCAGCCGCTTCTGGACCGCCTACGATGCCCTCGGCGACATCGACCGCCTAGTCGAGCACATCAGCACAGCCCAACACCTCCACCGCGCCATCCTGCGCACCGGAACCGCCCTGATCGAAAAGAAACAGATCCGCCACCTCCGCGCCTTCCGCATGGCCGTCGTAAAAGAAGGCCCCGACGTTCAGCTCTTCACCCACCCGGGCGCCCTTACCAAACTCGCTCTCTGGATCGCCGAAGCTATCGTCGAGCTCAATGGCACAAAAGGCAAAAACAAAGGCAGCGAGCTTGTCATGGCGGGTCTTGACGACTCGCGCGGTCTCTACGTTGTCGTCGGCCTCGGCGGCGGCGGCGCAACAGAATCTGCTAAATCCCGCCTACAGAAACGCGAAGCGAAACTCAAAGCTAAAGAAGCGCGTCAAGCGCAGAAAGCTGAAGCAAGGGAATCACGTCGCAAAGCACGTGTTGCGCGTAATCTTGCTGCTGGACTTGAGGAAGATGAAGTCGCTGATGAATCGGAGTCCGAAGCCGAAGAATCTGATTCCTCGGATAACGACTCTGAGGATAGTGAAGATGAAGATGAGGAGAGGGGGTCGGGCAGGAATCGATTCGGTAATGCGTTTCAAGAGGTTGTGAGGGAGACGGGAGCCCGAGTAAGAATGGACAGTTTCGAGGCGTGTGTGATTGAGATTAAGAAGGAGGACCTTAGCGGGTTTTTGGAGAAACTGAGTCAGAAGGCTGTTGTTGGGTAGATGGGTCGATACGGACTGTATCGTCTGTCGAGAGATTTCTTTGCGTCACGTACTGGTTTGGACAGAGGAAGGCGATGATTTGGATTTGGTAAGAAAGGAAAGGCAAGATACCGCTTTTGCAGGAGGAAAGGTTTGATCTGGGCACAGCGCTTTTGCATGATTTGGCATTTTTGGATGGGGATATCCGTAACTTCTTTCTATTGATTCAGGCATATTTGTAGGCAGGGCGAACGATGTACAAGCGATGATATTACAAGAGTACTTAGCATAGCACAACACAGCACAAGAAAGCATAACATTACAAGCGAGCATAGCAAGCAAATCGTATTTCATGCATAACATATCCAATTTTCAACCGCTGAGGAGAAGAAAGGAAAGTGGTATCTTTAGTACTAACGCACAAACAAAACCGACACACCGCTCATCCAAACTACCATCACGACCAAAAACTACTTGGTATACGAGCGCTCTTTCCTTCCTCCCATTGTCAGGCCCTCGCCGTCTTCGCCGTCATCCCAGCTTCCTTCTCCACTACTCCTTCTTTTCCGCGTCCTTTGCTTGACACCATCTGTCAGCCTTCTCTTCACCTCATCGAGGTTGCCGTCAATAGTACTGAAGGGCTTGAGCTGGAAGCCGCCCAGGTTCGCACTGCTGCTATTCCGGCTGCGGCTCTTCTTCGGCGTCTGCGGTCGACTAGAGAAGAAGTCTTGGTTGGCGAGGTCGTGGAACGATTCGTTGCGTGGTATCTCGTTGATGGACCCGGGTGACGCGGGGTAGTCGTAGGTTTCGATGTCCTGGCCTGCTTCTCTTTCGGCGTCTTCGTCTGACTTTTGCGGTGGTGTGTTGGGACGCTCTTTCTTGATGAAGGGATCCTCGACGATGCGTTTGGAGTGGAAGTCCTCGTACATCTCCGGTCCGAGTTCGTTGATGATGTCGTTTACGCGCTGGGCGAGGTTCTCACGGCGCTCTTGGAGTTTGACGAGTTCGTTGTTGGAGAAGGGGTTCATCATCTTCCAAAGGGGACCGAGGGACTTGAGGATGTCCATGGCGACTTCGCCGAATCGGAGAGCGCCGTATGTGAGGGTGACGTAGACGACGAGTTGGGGGATGATGAGCCAGCGCTTCTGGATTCCAGCAGGAAGGTATCCGTTACATTGGTTGTAGGAGTACCAGTAGAGTCCTAAGCAGACGTACCAGGCGTAAGCCGTCGGGGCGGCAGCCATGGCAACGAGAAGTTTCCACGTAGCCATGACATCTCTTGCTTGAACTTTGACGTTTGATGCAGCGAGTGCCTCTCTGGCCTTCTTGATCGAGACAACCTTAGTGACAATGAAGACCAAGCTGAAGAGCAGAGTTCCGGGAAGGACGAGCATGCTCAGGAAGAGCAGCTTTCCAAGACGGTAGAAGAAAAGCCCAAATGCCGTGATAGGATGCATCTTTGCATACTGCACCTGGTGATCCCGGAGGCCGAGCGCCTTAAGCTTGCCGTTGTAGGTGGTGACTTCCTTCTTGAGTTCGACGATGCGAGGATCGTCTTTGTAGCGTTCGTAACCCTGGACGAGGCGGCGATTAAGCTCCACGATCCTGGGGAGAGGAAGCTTCGTGCCTTTGGAGTTGTAGAGGCGGCGCACAGCTTGGATGACCTAGAGGGGTCAGC